GGCAGAGGCAGAGGCAGAGGCAGAGGCAGAGGCAGAGGCAGAGGCAGGCAGATCTCTATGAGTTTGAAGCCACCTTGGTCTACACAAAGAGTTTCAGGACAGTCAGTGCTACACAGAAAAACCCTGTCTCAAAAAAAAAGGCAAAAACAAATAAACAACAACAAAAAAGAAAGAGAATGTTGTTTTAACTTTGTGATGCATTTTTTTTGGTGTGTACTTGTGTATGTGTGTGGAGTATATGTGTGTTTGTATGCATGGCAGTGTGTGTGTGTGTTTGTGTATGCATAGAGCTGAATGTTGATCTTAGGTGTCTCTTGAGTTTGTTCTCTGCCATACGTATTGAGGTAGAGTCTCTCATTTGAACTTGGAGCTCACCAATTTGACGTGTCTGGCTAGGTAGATTACTGTTGGGTTCTCCTGATTCTGCCCCTCATGTGCTAGGATTATAGGCTGGTTACCAAGCTTGCGTGGAATTTATGTGGTTTCTGGGGGGGTTGGAACTCTGGTTTTCATAGTTGTAAACCAAGCACTTTTACCCACTGAGCCATCTTCTTAGACCATGAAGTATTTTTATTAACAGAGAAATTACCAAGGGATTACTTTGCATAGAGGTTATTATCTATATTAAAATAAATGTGCAAACAAATTATAATTGTTCTAGAAACAGCTATATATCTTTTTCTTAATTTTTTACATGAGGGTTGTTAAAGAATAATCAAATTCACTTTATTTCATTTTATTACATTTATCTCAGGCTTTTTTTTTTTTTTCTGGGAAAAGCCTGCTGAATGATCTTCCTAAGTGTTTTCATACTAGTTTATATGTTTGAAAAAGTATTTTTCTTTTCATGGAATATGTATTTATTCAAATCAAAAGTAATGTTTTTACTACCAAAATTAAAATTGGTGGTGCTGGGCTTCTGATAGTATTGTAGATTGTTTGGATTTACTTATGTGGATTTTCTTGTACACAATTTTTAGCTTTACCTCTCTGAAAACCTTTTGGTATCAAAAGAGGTTATACTGATGTATAGTGTCAACTTCAATGACTTGAAGTTTTGAGAGTTTTATTAGTTGGGTAACTATATGTGAATCTTACCCATAATATTTTAAAAGAAGTAAAAATTCATAGTGTAACAGGGCCCCAGACCTTACTAGGCTCCCAGACCTTAGCACAACTGACTCCATCATGGAAATACCATTCAGGCCACAAAAGAAAACATGTAGACACTACCACCTGCCAAACTGCAAACAAAGACTGAATCCATCAAAGTCCGTAGTTCTGAGAAAGTCTTTAAATGTACCAACGTTGCTCTTTGTCTTCTGTAGTTCTGCTTCTGGTTAACTGTTCTTCTTAACTGAAGTATGTCAACCCAGAACATGGTTTTTGTGCTTAAAAGCTCACTCTGAGAAGGGCTTGGTGCTACAGTGGGATTCCAAACACACAGTATAGTTGCTGGTTGGCGAATAAAGACTTTCAATTGGCTTAAACCCATGTTTGAGCAGTCTTCTCTGGTGGGTACCCCAGAACAGTAGTAAACACGTGTCAAACCATCAAGCATGGTTTTGACTTTTTAAAATGAATGATTAATTGAGATGGTGAGCTTAATGTTGTATATATCTTATCTTCTAATAGAATAATAAGATTAATTTTTGTTAAAGTTACATTAAAAGATTAACAATGGTATTTTACAGCTATACTGCATAGAATTTAACTCATTCTAGTGACTGTGGAGAAGTAGTCTTTGAACAGGTCTTGGAAGAATGTTGGTTCCCAGACAATATAAAAATTGTTGCATATACTAAATTTGCATAAGGCCATTTTTGTATGAGTTTGAAATGTAAGTTAAGTGTTGCATTCTTGGTTTATTTATAATCCTCTATTTAGGAAGCTGTAAGTACTTGCAAGATTCTTTGTGAATTCTTTGTGTGGTATTACCAGAATCCAGTAAAATAATACTTTTGGGTAATAAAGGAAGGCAGTTTTTGACAGACCGGGAGTGCTTAATGGTTTTGAGAAAAGGAAATCTCTCACTAGAAGAAGTACCACAGGCACAACATTTGGAAATATCTTATGGTGAGTTTGGACTTTGAGCTTTGGAGAAGGTGAATCCAGCACAAGGAAGCAATATACAAAATTTTGAGTCTCTCAAATTAAAAATGAATGATGATTCTCTCTGTAGTTTTTGGATGGGAGTAGGTTTCCTGGTTTTATTGGTTGCTCAGAATCATATCTTAAATTTTCTCATATACATCAGAATATTTTATGTGTGTTTATTGATTCTTTTTATTGTTAATTTTGTGAACCGTTAAGGCCACAACTGTACTTTCAGACAATATAAAAGTACAAGATCAGTGACTACAGGAGGCCAGAAGGATGTGAGTCAGAAGGAAGAATCTTGTCAGAGAACACAGTTCATGCCAAGACCCTCTGAGGAAGGTTCAACATATTAGGGTTTAGTCAGGATCTCTGGAGTAAATAGAACATGAGCAGAAAGTAGAGAAGGTGCGAGTTTGGAGACAGATAAGAGAGGCTATTTCCACACCATGCTAGGGTTTACAAGCTATGCTATGTAAGTGTGCTCACTCTCAGTGTGTTTGGGATCCTCTACAGGAGGATTGTTTTATTCATACATCCAATGAGATTGTTTGATTCATATAGTGTAAATATCACCTTGTTTTCATATGAAGATAAGTTAGAAGGCAAAAGTGATGAAGATGGAAAGCTTTGATGAGCTGTCAGTAAAGGCAAGAGGTGGCTTGACTTGCTGGCATCAAGGTTGGAGGGAATGTGTTTGGGCATGAGTTGTATGGCAGGCAGGACAGTGTTTTAAAAAAAGAGGGTATTGGGGTGACTTCTGGGTCTGTAAAGTGATCGATTAGAAGTATATGGATCCTTGTTTCATCTACCAACTTATTTACCATCACTGAAGAAAGAAAGCTTAGGACGCGATGATACAGGGAAGGAAACAACAGCCAAAGCATGGGAGCACTGTGCTTGTTTTTTCTATTCGGATTAACTGAAATAAATCTGTGGGCTCCAGTGTGATGTCACACCACTTCCTGGTGACCAAGGAAGAAGACTCAGCATGAATATTATAAAAACTGCAAAACTTTTGAGTGGCAGTAAGTAGGAATTAAGAGACCTGAAACAAATCTATTCCAAGGTCTCCCAGAGACAAAAACTGCTATTCCTTGCTAATTTCTGTGTATTCATGGCCCTGGCTAAAGTCACTTGAACATCCTGCACCCTGCATGCACCAACAGTTACTGGTAATTATTTTCTATCACAAGTGTAGCCCCTGCTGGTGGAAAAACCTTTGGTAATATCATCTTCCTCTAGTCTCTTACCCACTCTGTGAAGTGGCACTGTCTAAGGCATTAGTCTCTAGGCATTTGTTGCTAACTAAATGTACATTATTTGTTATAAATTATATATTATTATTAAAGATGCACACGGTATATATGCACTCATATAGACATATAATATAGGATAAACCTACTAAAATCTGTACATCTAAAGAAACTAATCAAGATGGAGGACTCTGACTAAAATGTTCAATCCCCATCCTGAAAGGTAAAGAGGATGGACATCAGAAGAAGAAGAAAACAGGAAACAAGTTAGGAACCTGCCACAGAGGGCCTCTGAAAGGCTTCCCCCTGCAGACTATCAAAGCAGATGCTGAGACTTATGGCCAACTGTTGGGCAGAGTGCATGAAATCTTATGAAAGAAGTGGGAAATAGTAAGATCTGGAGAGGACAGGAACTCCACAAGGAGAGCAACAGAACCAGAAATTTGAACACAGGGGTCTTTCCAGAGACTCATACTCCAACCAAGTACCATGCATGGAGATAACCTAAAACCCCTGCACAGACGTAGCCCATGACAGTTCAGTGTCCAGGTGGGTTCTATAGTAATGGGAGGAGGGACTGCCTCTGACATAAACTGATTGGCCTGCTCTTTGATCACCTTCCCCTGAGGGGGGAGCAGCCTTACCAGGCCACAGAAGATGACAATGCAGCCACTCCTGATGAGATCTGATAGACTAAGATCAGAAGGAAGGAGAGGGGGACCTCCCCTATCAGTGGACTTGGGGAGGGGCATGTGTGAAGAAGGGGGAGGGAAGATGGGATTGGGAGGGAAGGAGAGTTTATGGGGGAATACAAAGTGAATGAAGTGTAATTAATAAAAGTTAAAAAAGAGCATAAAACTAAGAGTTCAGCTCTTTATTTCCATCAGTCATGTTTCAAGTGGTTACCGTATTAGGAAGCAGATAGAGAACATTTTCATTGTCAAAGGCAGTTAGAGATATCCTTGAAAATTTGGGAAAAACTAATCTAGTCCAGGTGTCGAGGAGAGCCTGGCGAGGGTGAGACTCCCAGCAGCTTTGGACAGAAAATAGTCAAATGCAGTATTTATTGACAAATGATGGAACATTAGCTTCTAGAAATTCATAGAATTCTTACAACTACTAATAAAAACGAAAGAAAGACTTACCCAGAAGTGAGACATGACATTGACAAAAAATGATCTTTCCACCATGTGATCTGGAATCTCAAGGAAGAGCTTCCCTGTTACAATACCTGCATTATTAATGAGAATGGTGACATCACCGACTTCTTCTCTAACCTGGCCAGAAGTGAGAGAAACATGACATTGATTGAGGTATAGAAAATTTAACATTAACTTTCCTGAGTCACAATTTCTGTTGTTTTATTCAAGTGCAGTTGTGGAAAGCACAGTCATGACAGATAAAGGTAGCCCTGAGATTAAATTGCTTAGTCACATTGTAGCTCTATTTGCTTTCATAAGTAGAGTCTAAGATGGTCCCACTGCTATGAAGTCATTTAAGCAATGTGCCTTTAGAACACACCTCCATCGTTCAATCAGATGTGACTATTATTTCCTTAAAACTCCTTATTTTGCTCTTGTCTTTCAGAAAGATTTTCATCGATTTAAAAGTAATCCTATGATCAGTTATGCTTTTTGCAAAGAACACTTCAATTTGGAAATTTTGCTTAAAGAATGTGATTTCCTCTGGAAGGGCCCAGGAGCAGCTTATATAATTTTGAGAGTCTCTTGAATTTCTTTGATGGACAACCTGAAATGAGGCTTTTGTTAGGTACTCTATGGCTCTTGTTGGAGCATTGTCAGCCAACGAGAATTAACTTCATTTAAACTACCTATGTCTATGTACATTTATATGCATTATTTGTAATATTAGGTAAATAAAGATAATATGATTTTTAAAATTTTTTTATTTAACTTTCATTAATTACACTTTATTCATTTTGTATCCCCCCATAAGCCCCTTCCTCCTCCCCTCCCGGTCCCACCATCCCCCCCCTTCTGCATGCATGCCCCTCGCCATGTCCACTGATAGGGGAGGTCCTCCTCTCTTTCCTTCTGATCTTAGTCTATCAGTTCTCATCAGAAGTGGCTGCATTGTCAGGGTTCTAGGTTATCTCCCTGAATAGTCCTTGTTTTTTAAGGCCCTTTAAAACATCCTTAGTATTATTTTTTCTCTTCTTTCATCCCTCTCCTTCTGTAGTGATCTTCCACCCTCAGCCCTCTTTTTACCATTTCCTTCTTTGTATCACTTGTATCTTCTCGGTGAAGACACAATGCACTGTGGACCCTGGACCTGGAGAATATTAGCCACATCTGCCTTGAAAAACCCCTGCAAGCCCCCCTCCCTGAAGGGGATACAGGAAGGTGCTCTGGAAGCTGCCAAGGGAGGGAGCAACCAATAGTAGACAGTACCCAGTATACTTATGGACCACTACAATGGCCAGCAGGGAAAAATATTCCTAAGGGAGCAATAATGTCACTGATATCTTGTCACTAACCACAAACTGTCTAATTGGACTTAAGGCCCACTTAACAAAAAGAAAAATCATTCCCAGCACTAGAAATCTAGTTAATTTCCAGGGGCCTCTGAGGAGAATCCACAACTTCCCCTTTACCAACTTTATGTAATACCTAATGATATCCTAGACACTTGTCCTTATACTTGTAGTTCTCATCCCTCATGAAAGAATCTCTTTTTTTTTTCAACATATGGAGACCATTACAAAAACAAAACAAAAAACCAAACAGACCCATAACTGGTCAAAAAGCAGGGAACTACTAATTGTGGGATGCTCAGCTCCAACTGGTATCTAATAGTGAACCTGTTACACCTCAGGCTCAGGAAACATCAAGGAAGAGGGAAAGATCTTAAGAGCCAAAGGAGCAGAAAATTTGAGGTGAGGTAATGTCTCCTACACATAACATGGCAGCTACACCCAGGATATTTCTCCGCAATATGGCAGCCTACATAGGACCTGAGCAACGGCAACACCAATTGACATGTTAACAGGGAAGGAGGATATCTCATGAGCCACAACTTTAAACAAAAACCTATAGACAACCAAGGAATGCTGAGAGAGGGAGAAATAGTATTCCCCAGGAATTAGGCCCCTGATTGGTTATCATGTGTGTGCGTGCGTGCGTGTGTGTGTGTGTGTGTGTGTGTGTGTGCATAAAATACTGAAAGAGAAAGAGGTCATGCATTTGAAAGGAAGTAAGTAAATGGGGGAACATAGCAGAGGCTCGAGAAAGGAAAGGGAAGGAAAATAATATGATTAAATTTTAATTTCAACAAAGAAAAGAAAAAAAACCCACAAACAGCAAAAACTCTTGCTGTGTTTATAAACATATGTGACAGTACAAAAATAAAATTGGATGAATTTTAGTAAATTCATATACCCACATAATAAAGAAAATAAAACATAGATGTAATCTCTACTTCAAAGAAAAGAAAACACATTTCCAAGATCTCAAAATTTTATCCCCCTTCTTGCTTGCCATATTTTAGATCTGGAAAGTTCTCCTAAGGCTTGGTATTCAGTTTGGTGCTCTTGGAACATCGTAAGAGCTTTGAGAAGTGGGATCTATTGGAAAATTTCAGTCATTGGAAGAATTCTTTTTTAAAAAATTTATTGATTTTTTATTAATTACAGTTTATTCACTTTATATCTCAGCTGTAGCCCCCTCCCTCATTCTCTCCAAATCCCACTCACCCTCCCTCTTCTCCTCCCATGCCCCTTCCCCAGCCCACTGATAGGGGAGGTCCTCCTTCCCTTCCATCTGACCCTAGCTTATCAGGTCTCATCAGGACTGGCTGCATTGTCTTCCTCTGTGGCCTGGTAAGGCTGCTCCCCCCTCAGGGGGAGGTGATCAAAGAGCCAGCCACTGAGTTCATGTCAGAGACAGTTCCTGATCCTCTTAGTAGGGAACCCACTTGGAGAATGAGCTTCCATGGGCTACATCTGTGCAGGGGGTCTAGGTCACCTTCATGCATGGTCCTTGGTTGGAATATCAGTCTCAGAAAAGACCCCTGTGCCCAGATATTTTGGTTCTGTTGCTCTCCTTGTGGAGCTCCTGTCCCCTCCAGGTCTTTCTGTCCTCTCCTCCTTTCATAAGATTCCTTATACTCTACCCAAAGTTTGGTTATGAGTCTCTGCCTCTGCTTTAATACCCTGCTGGGGAGAGTCTTTCAGAGGCCCTCTATGGTAGGCTCCTGTCCTGTTCCCTGTTTTCTCTTTCTTCTGAGCTCTATCTTGTTTGCCTTTCTGAATGAGGAGTGATCATCTTAACTAAGGTCCTCCTCCTTGCTTAACTTCTTTAGCTGTACATATTTTAGTATGATTATCCTATAATATATGTCTAATATCCAATTATAAATTAGTATATACTATGTGTGTCTTTCTGCTTCTGGGATACTCAGGGTGATCTTTTCTAGTTGCAGGCAAATGGTGGGAGAGTTCTTAAGGGTTGTGGGGTGTAGCATTGCTCTCTTCCCCTCCTGGCCACCTGCTTAGCAGGTAGATTGCTGTGCCCTGTGCCCCACTGTGGTAAAGTGCTGCTGCCTCCTGATTGGCCTTAGTGGTTCAGTTTACTATGGACTGAAATCACGAGCCATGATAAACCTGTTCTATTAGTTAAAAAAGAATATGATTTCCATAAGAAGATGGCCAGCTATATAGAGTAGCACATTATCTATCTATCTATCTATCTATCTATCTATCTATCTATCTATCTATC